AGAAGGAACTGTAATGACTGTGTCCCCTGGGAGATATCTTTTTTGTTAAACGGTAATGGGAGATAGTTCATTTTAATCAAATTTTGGCAAACTGAATGGAAATAAAAAGCTGAGTAGAGAATCAAAGCCTATTATCTGGATGGGTGAAAAACTGAAAACTTCTCAGTGAAGTCCATAAAAAGCAGCAGGCAGTAATATAAGGCATTTCCCATTGATAATCTGAGAGGGTGCTTCATTTAAAGTTTCCTCATTTAACGGCTTATGAAATTGCTCTAGCACTATAAAAAGAAGTTAAAAAAATTGCAACTAACGATTAATCTGTGAAAATAAAAAACAGAGGAATCTTGTAAACAGTTCACTCTTGCATCATGAAGTGGCTTATGAGCTGTGCTGCATGTTTCTGAATCTATTCAGACTGCCCAGGAACTGGTTTTTAAAGCTTGGGAGTGCCATTGGAACAAAGAAATGGAATATGCTTCACTTGTTTTGAAGGATAGGTACTTTCTTATATTTTTGGTACAGGAAATATATCATGGTTTAGAGGAGCTATCATCTTTTTGTAAAGCTACTGCAGCACCAAACGTTAATTAAGAGAGAAATGCTGCTAAAATCATCATTTTTTCCTGTTAATCAAGTTCAAATCATACAAGAATTAACTACACATGGGATGCAAAGTCAAAAAACTTCAAATAAATTATTTGGGACTTCCACTTGGAGAAAAAAATAGATCCAAACACTGATAAACGTCTTAATACTTTCTCTTGCTGTTCAAACTACCAAGAAAAGTGTTGCTGAAGCTGGACAAAATCAGGTCCTTTTTCTTTATAATGTTGGTGCCCTGGCCAGCTGCGCATACCTTGACTAATCTACCGGGTACTTGCTATAAACCAATATAAATATCATGTAACTCTGTCCACCAAAATACTTAGATAGATGCTTAGAAATAACCTTGCCCTTTTTCTGCATTGTCAGGCTAGAATATGAACCCCGGCTCCCATGATATATTCCATCTTCATTAACCGCTAGGTTGAAAATAAGAAAGGACCTTCTATGGAAGGGAAGTAAAGGCTATAAATGTGATCTGCTCAAGAGGAAAATAGTTTTAGTGGAGAAGGAGCAAGGAGGTTTAGGGGTGACGGACCTGGGAGCACATAACACAAGTTTTTAAAGTAAAAGGCTATGGAGGAACAATTTAGAAAACAAGAAGAAAGCAGTGGTAAAGGAGCTTGGAAAGAAATCAAGAACTCAAGAGATAATTTCAAACAGCATATCAGATTCGAGGTAGGAATTGGCACAAGTTGCTTTTCTCGAATATTAAGATAGGGCATGGCCCACTGGGGGAACAATTCATATCCTTAGCAGAAACAAATCTGGCCATTGCACAACATAGGAACAGTGGAAGCTGGATTTTGAATTTTTTAGAAGACAATGTTAGGATTGGGAAATAGAACACTGGGAATGCTGGAAAAACATAAAATGCGGACAAGAGAAAGTAGATGCTATCATTTAGGAAGGTGATAGAACACATATACTCAGTTAAAAATTGGTACAAGCTATTCAAGGGAAGCATAAACAAACGTACAAGTAGCAAGCAATTTCGCATCTCTCTCCGAGAGTAGCACTCCAAAAAAAATGGTTGCTTCTTTTGGTTGTACAGTACTACTACATGAGGACCCAACATCTGCAATAGATGTTACACGTGTAACATGTGTTATTCAACAAATGCAGATTTGATGCTTAATCACTTGCTTCTTCATTGTAGTGTAGGAAAGGAATCATGGAATTTGTTTCTCAGCTTAGGGGATTAAAATGGGTCATGAAAATTGGAGGAGGCTATAATGAGCTGGAACGCGTGAAGACAAGGAAAAAGTTCAAGAAAGTTTGGAAGGCTAATCCACGGTGCATAATCCGGTACATCTAGAAAGAAGAAATTAGATATGCTTTGAAACTACAGCAACACACCTTTTGAGATGTATGCATTTATTAGCTTTTTCCTGTAAATAATTGGATTTTATAAAGGACACAGATGAATTTTTAGTTTTATCAGCTACCTAAGATTCTGAATAGGTACTAAATGTAACAAAACAGATCTTTTGCCTGTTAACAGAGAATCCACTGGATGCCTTGTGAATTATATAAGAAAATGCATTATCAAGAAGAAGAAAAAACCTTTAGCTACAAACTTATGACGATAGAAACTTTAGCTTTACCCAAAGAATTAGCCCGGCAAAGATAAAGGAACCATGAAAAATATGAAGATTAGAAAAGCCTAGCGTCTTGGGGTCCGGATGGTATTCCCAAAGAGGTTTGGAAGTATTTGGAAGAGGTTGGTGTATGATGGCTTACTAAGCTACTTAATGCTATACTAAGAAGTGGTAGGATGTCCAATGGTCGGAAAAAAAGTACCCTAATGGAAATCATAAGAACAAAAGAGATTCAAAATTGTGCGAACTATCACGGCATTAAGCTTATCAACTAAGTTGCTCGGACTCTTCACTTACGGTGTCGCACTCATATCGACATGACGCGGGTGTGGGTGTGGGATTTGAAAGGATCTGGTAAATTAATTTTGGGTACTTTAAGAAATATCGACGGAGAAATTTGGGACAAATACATGGTTTCTGAAATCAAAATAAAAGCCAAGGTGAAATTGAAGAAAATTAAATACTTTGTATATAAAAATTTCTATGTCGGTCCTTTTCCTTTTATCTCCTTCATGGATCATCCGCTTGCTTAATATTTTCTCCTTCTCGGAATAACTTGTATGTTTTTCACGTAATGTCTTATAATTTTGACATATTTTTATAACGCTATTTCTAGATATTGAATTATTTTTAGCTGAATCCCACACTCGTATCTGTACCTGGATTCGTATCCCCCGAATCTTAAAATTTAGATCGTGAAGAATCCAACCTCTAGATTTGCACCCGTAGCAGTCACCCGCACCCGAGTCCAAGCAACTTAGCTCATCAGTAATACGATGAAACTCGGGAAAAGAGCGATAAAGCATAAGGGACACTACAAGAGTGACAGATAATCAGTTTGGTTTCTTACCTGGTAGATTTAGGAGGCTATATTCTTATTAAATAGATTGGTGAAAATTCTTTGCGAGAGACATTGATGGCTATATTCTTGTTAAGCATTATGTACACATTGTGTTCATAGACCTGGAGAAAGCGTATGATAGAGTACAAAGAAAGTTTCTTTGGTGGATGTTGGAGATGAAAGGAATTATATATATATATATATATATATATATATATATATATATATATGCCATTATGGACATGTGTGTCTACCAAAAAAAAAAGTTGTTATCTCCCAGGATGATGCATTACTCGTCTTTTGCAGGAAGATTGACTCTTGTCATTAGATTGCTAGTTAGGATACCTACATATCTCATGTCCCTTGTTCACATTACAGTCTATATAGAGAAGAGAATTAACAGGTTGAGGAGCAAATTTCTAATGGGAAAGTTACTCTGAAAGGAGGAAATTTCATTGGGTGAAGTGGAAAGATGTAATCCAAGATAAAAAAGGTGGTGGAACGGGTACAAAAAATCTTAGATTGCATAATAAAAGTCTTCTGTTTAAGTGGCTAAGAGATATGATGATGAAAAGCATGAATTGTGGAAATAAGTTTAAATATCAAATATAGTAAGATGGACTGTTGGAGGCCGAATCCTGTTATTTTTTTGGTAGAGCAATTTGGAGAAATATCAGTAGGATGTGGGAGGGAATTTCAACAGTATGGTAAGGTGGAAATAGGGAATGGAAGGAGAATAAAATTTTGGAAGACAGACGATAGCCATGCAGCACCTGTATGAAAGCCAGTACCATCCCGTCAAGGACAGGTCTTCTTGTTCATATGTCAAGGGCTGGATGGACAATGGGAGACTCAAAGATCAGTTCGCTACTTTGTACATTTTAGCAGTAAACAGAACTGTTTGGTTATTGATTGTTTTTGCAGGGAATGGATGGCAGCTGAATTTTAGGAGACATTTCAATGACTGGGAACTCAATGAAGTCAGCCAGCAATTTAATGTATTGGAGCCACATGCTTGGATGACAGCAGGAGGGATTCTCTAAGATAGAAAGCACGAAACAAATGGTACCTTTTCTGTTAAGAGCTCAGAGCTGCTACAACATGTGACAATTGGGATAGGGAATGGCAATGAAAGATGCTCCGGGAGAACAAGGCACCTATAAAGTTGCATGTTTTGGTTGGTTGGCTGCAAAAAATGCAAAGCTTGTGAATACACCCCCCCCCCCCCCCACACACACAAGTGCAGTTGCTGCAAAGCCAATAAATGATGTTAAGCGAAGTGACATCTGTTCTTATTAAACTTTCCTTTCGAAGTCCCCAAAGTATGGACATGGCCGTAGAATTAGCGTGGTAAGTTTAAAGTTGAGGTGCATCTACTACATCTTCTTCCTTTCAAATCTGAAATTGGAGAGGTCCTGAATGAACAGAAGAACCTTGGACCTAGGTGAAAAAAGGTACTAAAAACTAACAGAACAACTGTCGTGTTTATTGCACCAACGGTATCTACAAGATGAATATATAACTAGAAGAGAAGCAATTGCTCCATTGGTAAAGTATGAGACGTCCAGAAATTCAGGACAGCAGGGGAAAAAGCAACCTCAAGGTCAAAAGTAAAGAAACCTCACGGTGATACCAACGTATTCATCAAGAAAAGAGGCGTACCAGAATGACTTATTCAAGTATCTGTTTTGTTGTTTACCCTCTTTACTCTAACCTGGCATAGCCAATTCAACCTCCCAAGAGGATAATAAGGACTACTGAATTACGGACAAGGTTATTTCCAGACACTTGGAAGAGATTTTTGTGCATGAAATTCAATCCGTTCTTAAAAGACTTTTCCCACTTCTATGCTACCGGATAAGTGGAAAAATAGTAAAACTTCATGAACGACCATTTTGTGATAGAGAAAGGGTAAACTCAGCATAAATAAGTATAAATAAAATTCCGACCCAAAAGAAACAAGATTGTCAATGAATCAAATATTGTAAAAGAACTCGTGATAGAGCTGAATGAATAGCTCCATTTAACGAGGTAACCACCCATATTGTCCATAAATTAACTTTTAAATACAAACATGCATAGAGCTCTTATTAAATGCGAAAAGACTCTCCATCTAATCAATTATCCATTTGTAATGAAGGACAAGTAAAGACAAGCCACACAATGCAATTTAAATAAATCATTTGACCTCCTTATCAGAAAATAATGTCCTCGTCTTTCTGTGAAGCATGGGATAGCAAGTTATGGGCTGTACCTAGCGAAATACCTCTCTTCAAGGAAATTTCTTCTGCAGCCTTCTCCTCTGCATATTGCTTGGAAGCCAGCATCTGTCTCTCTACCTCCCTCTTCTTGTAACCTTGTATCTTCTTGAGACGAAAGAAATCTTCCCTTTCCAGTTCATCAAGTTCCCCTTTGATGTAAAGCACTGTGTTCTCCAACCGTGGCTTCACGACATTCTCCAATGCATTAACCCTCCGATTTGTGGTCTTGATCGCCTCATCAAGAGTCAAGAATGATGTCTGTAGAGAGGCAAGCTCAACAAGCAACTCAATAGATTTCACGTAAGCAGCACGGCAAGCTTGCACCTGTTGCCCCCCTCTAGCTAATCCAGTCAGGTCATTCTTTGTCTCTCCTTCAGAGAAATGCTCGAATTTAGGGAGCTTTACACCGGCAATATTGTCTTGGCGGGATCGAACTTTAATGGTTGCATTCTGGACATTTTCAAGGACAACATGCTTAATGTTCTCGCCAGCAGCATATTTTGCCTCTGTCAGAGCGAAGGAGGAAGTTTTCATGACATCTCCCATTGATTCCTTCGTTGACACGATGTCCTTTAGAATCTGACGGAACTGCACAGTTAAAGCATCACTCTTCTTCTTGAGCAGAGCATGGCCTCTTGTAGCACCAACAAGGCGAGCTTTGATCACACCAAGCATTGTAACTGTAGGAACGACATTCAAACGCTGGCTTTGCCCGGACATTTTGCCAAGCTACTTTAGCTGAAAAGAAGAAAATAAGGATTTCATAAAGAATAATGATCACCTTAATACATGATAGTAAATTGTTTACAAAGCGTAATCTAAGATCAGAACGACATAGGCATGAGATCATTTCTTCACCTATTAACAAAGACAAAACAGTCAACATTTATCTAATATAAAATCACGCCATAAAAATGTGAAGTGTGAACAAGATCAAATCACCAATTTGACTTTCTCTATGGCAATGTTTGTTAGGTCCAGAAACCACTCACCGTAGGTTTCCACTAAGAATCTTGTTACAACAATAACAACTAAGCCTCAATGCCAAACAAGTTGAGGTCGGCTATATGAATCCTCATTGACCATATCAGTTCATAAGTTCATATAAACTCATCTTAGGTCAATATTATATAAAATAAAAATAAAAAATCAAAATCAAAAGTACTAGAAATTCTTTATAGTTTTTATTACTAGAAATTCTTTATGTTTTTTACTGACGTGTAAATCTATGAAAGGCTAAACAACTCTTAGAGAAGCATAAGTTTCCACTAAGAATCTTGTTACTATAATACAATTATTAATTACTAGTTATATCGAGATAAATTTCTCTACATTGGTAACCTCAAATCAAGGATCGACTGCAATTTTGGACACTAAGGATATGCTTTAACATCACTTAAACCCAATTGCTTAGATTTGAGTATATAATCGATACCCGTCGTTTAAATAACTAGAAGAACTTGGTAAATCACTTGAAATTTATTACTTTTATCTCTTTTTTTGGGCCATTTCTTAGGAAAAAGGTACAGAGAAGAGCAGATCGGTAAACCATTACAACGTTGTAGCAATTATGAGATGGGAATACAAAGAAGAATACATATTACTAGTTAAAAAATACAAAAAAAACAACTAAAGAAAATCAATGGTGATGCTTGCTTTATGCAGCGGGAGCAGAGACAAATCAAATAAAGAATTGGCATTCTACCTGGGGATCAAGGTAATTGTGGGAAGTTTAGAGAAGGAGGAGAACTTACAAGTCGAATTCGTCGGAAAGGGAGAGAAAGATCGCGAGGATTTCAGACACGAATCAGATGGGAGAGGAGCTGGGGGTGGGATGGGAGTGGGGTCAACTATCAACGTTGCCTTTTAATTATTGTAGCGGGTTGGATCGATTTGGTATTTGTGACCGGGTAGAAGATTGTAAACACTACTTCTACTTGTCAGCATTAAAAATGTGTTTCCCTTTCTTTCCTTTTTCTTTTTGATTTGACCATCTAATTAGTCAAAAATTATCCGGTGTTCTATGCCGCTCCTAAATCATTTATCCACCTAATTGGGATTTTGTGTCATTATGTGATTTTCATACTTATTTTTTGGTATTTGATTAGCCAATATATTACCCCATCAACGTTTTAAATAATTTAGGCAAATGCTACAATCCTGGACCCAAGACCTTGACACATGACCCCAACCCCTACCTCTGCCCCTAACCTCGACCCCGATCGTAATCTCGACCTCGGACTCGAACCTCGACACTAAACTTCGACCCCGACCACAGTCCCGACCCCGGCCTCGACCTTAATCTCAGGTTCCCGTGCCCCAGCAATATGGCAGAATATGAGGTTTGCATCTTGGGACTCAGATCGGCCATCGATCATGAATATTCAGGAGTTGCTGGTGATCGGAGATTCAGATCTACTAGTACATCAAGTACTTGGAGAGTGCGCTACCAAGAACGCTAAAATATTGCCATACTTGCATTATGTATAAGATTTGATCAAGAGGTTCCGTAAGATAAATTCAACACGTTCCGAGGATTCAGTACGAGTTCGCAGATGCATTAGCTACCATGTCTTCCATGGTACAACATCCAGACAAGAATTTCATCGAACCTATCCTAATTGAGATTCGTAAGCAACCAGCTTATTGTGCTCATGTTGAAGAAGAGTTTGACGAAAACCCATAGTCCACGATATCAAGGAGTATTTGGAGAAAAGAGAATACCCAGAGAATGCTACACACACTCAGAAGTGCACGCTCTGAATATTGGCCAACCACATCTTTCAGAGCGAAGGAATTTTGTATAGAAGGAATCCTGACTTGGCGTTGCTGCGACGTGTCAATTCTAAGGAAGCGTCTAGATTGCTCGAAGAAATATACGCCGGAACCTACGGACCTCACATGAACGGGTTCGTTTTGGCCAAGAAGATATTAAGGGCAGGGTATTTCTGGATGACTATGGAGACGGACTGCATCAACTATGTTCAAAAGTGGCACCAGTGCTAGACTGCCAGGTACATGCTGATATGATACGAGTGCCACCCAACGAACTCAATGCAACGAGTTCACCCTGGCCTTTCTCTACATAGGGAGTGGATGTCATCGGACCGATTGAACCCGCTGCTTCAAACGGATACAAGGTTCATTTTGGTGGCTATAGATTACTTCACAAAATGGGTTGAAGCCGCTTCCTATAAAGTGTGACAAAGAAGGTCGTCGCAGATTTCGTCCGAGATCGTATTGTTTGTCCATTTGGAGTACTTGAGTCAATCATTACCGACAACACCGCCAATCTCAACAGTGATCTGATGAAAGCCATGTGTGAAACATTCAAAATCAAGCACCGGAGTTCTACAACATATAGGCCGCAGATGAATGTAGCCGTGGAAGCCATCAATAAGAACATCGAGAAGATATTAAGGAAGATGGTGGACAACTACAAGCACTAGCATGAGAAGCTACCATTTAGTTAGCTCGGGTATCGCACCACAGTCCGTACGTCAACTGGGGAACCCCCTATCTACTGGTCTACGGTACCGAAGTTGTTATACCTGCCGAAGTGGAGATTCCTTCCCTAAGAATCATATAAGAGGCCGAGCTCAGCGATGCGAAATGGATATGGAGCCGGTATGAGCAACTGGCTCTCATTGACGGTAAAAGAATAATCGCAGTATGTCATGGTCAACTCTACTAGAACAGAATGGCAAGGGCTTTCAAGAAAAAGGTTAGATCGAGGCAATTAACACCGGGGAAATTGGTGTTGAAATAGATATTCCCGCATCAGGACGAAGCAAAAGGGAAATTCTCACCTAACTGGCAAGGCCCTTACATGGTTCACCGAGTACTGACAGGAGGAGTGCTTATACTTGCAGAAATGGATGGAGAAATATGGCCAAAACCTATCAATTCGGACGCAGTCAAGAGATATTATGTTTAAGATTGTGTTTGCACTTTCCTTTGATGTAACCTGAACTACGCTTGACCTGATTCCCGTTTAATAGGGGATAAGTAGGCGGCCCTGTGGGTTCGATCACATCATACTAAAATCTTAATACCCCTCTACGGTCAGGAACTAGGGCAAGAATTCGAGTTTTGTCAATCTCATTACGTTAAGGATCGCCAAGAAGTGCATTGCCGGAATTATGTATTTAAAGTGGGCAGAATTTTGAGGAGGGTCCTCAATCTTTCGATTTAAGGAGGTTACAATGTCTCAAAGCGTGTCACAGTCCCCGATTCGACAAAATTAGTTATTTTATGCACCATCACATATTTTGAATTTACTGCATGTTTCACAAATGATTTATCACAAATACTTATTTTAAAAAATTTCATTTTTCTGTAGTAGCCAGATGTTATCCAGGGTGACTCGAACAAGGCATCAAGACAAGGAGCTAAGGCGAAATGAAGAATCAAAGACATGGATCAACCTTCCCCCCAAAAAACTCACAATTTTTCTTTGGATGTAGGCATAGCAGACATGACAGGCATGTCCACAAACACATAACAAGAATGCTATCTCCACTGACAGAAGTCACCAAGTACAAATGCGTCAAGCTAAGAACCACTTTCTTTCTCATATTTAATCTTTGCCTTTCTCTGCATGAGGCTAAACACTACCTCTATTATCGTATAGGGATAAAGGCTAAATACTGCATTTCTCTGCAAAGGGCTAAGCACTGCCCTCATTCTTTGCATAGAGCTAAGCACTGCCCTCATCATTGCATAAGGCTAAGAATTGCCTTTCTCTGTATAGCGCTAAGCACTGCCCTTATTCTTAGCGTAGGGCTAAGAACTTCCCTCATCATTGCATAAGGCTAAGCAATGCCTCCATTATTGCATAAGGCTAAACGATGCCTTCCCTTGCATGCGACTAAGAACTGTCTCCACCAAATTGCATAAGGCTAAGTACCGCCTTCCTCTGCATGAGACTAAGCATTGTCTCCATCACATTCCATGAGGCTAAGTTCTACCTCCATTATTGCATGAGACTAAGCATTGTCTCAATCATATTGCCTGAGGCTAAGCACTGCCTCCATTATTACATAAGACTAAGCACTGCCTTCTTCTGCATGAGACTAAGCACTGTCTCCACCACATTGCATAAGGCTAAGTATTGCCTTCCTTTGCATGAGACAAAACACTATCTCTATTACATTACATTAGGCTAATCATTACCCCCATTATTGCATAAGGCTAAATGATGCCTTCCTCTGCATAGGGATAAGCACTACCCTCATCACATACAAGGCTAAGCGCTGCCATGTCTTGTTCTCACATACAACTAAGCATCAGTTGTTCCCTCTATCAAACAATAGATATTGTTGCATCTTTGCATTTCATGGGCTGAAACATAGCCACATTGTCTGAAGGCGTCATAGTCTGAAGGCATCATCCTCATAGACCGAAGACATCATGCCATGGCCTGAGGATCTCTCAAAACTGCACATCATTATTTAAAGGCGTCATAGTCCAGAGGCACCATCCTCATGGCCCGAGGATACCATTTCATAGCCTGCGATCCCTTATCATACCCTTCATGGCCCAGGACGTCATCGTCAAAGGATATCATCCTCATCATCCAAAAACAACTCTCATGGTCTGAAAAAAATTTGCATCATGTTTAAATTTTTGTAATAATCCTATATATTTACGTGCATCGTGTCTTGAGTTTTGCAGGTAATTCAGGAGGTAACCGTTCTACAAAGGGAGCAATTCTCGCTCTGATTTCTGTTCACAATGTTCATATTCCCAGACCCCACTAGTGGGATTCTACTGAATTGTTGTTGTAAAATGCAGAGCCTTGGGGTTGATATTGTATCAATGCAAAGGAAAAACCTTTTTCTGACGGCTTTATTACTTCAGAATGAGTGTTAACATATGCTACATGCCTCAATCCTCCTTGCTAGTATAAGTTATTCTTCTGTATGACTTCTCATAAGTTTTGCAATATGGGGCAAATGGCACCCATGCTCATATTTTGCTATTGTGCCTTGGTTCGAGACCCATAGCTACAACTGAATACAGTAAGTATTTAGTTTGTCCTTTGCGTTTCATTCTTTTTTCTTTTGCCCTTATTATTTTTCCTTTCTTTTTCTCTCCTTGATGCCTCAAACCTAATTAATTCTCCAAGATTTCATGGTAAACAACAATTTAAGAAATCAGAGGTTTCCTGTTGAGTACTTTCATTGAGATTTCTTTTATTTTGAATCATTATAAATTCGTTTCATTATTAATAATTTATGTAACCATATATAAAATTGAAGTTACACGATGGATGTTGCTTAAATATTTTTCTTCCAAATTATTGCTTAAACATATTTTGGTTTCAATCAAATTATTAAACTTTTCTTCAAATTTTTAGGATAAAATATTTTTTTTGTTGATAAGCAAGTCATATATGCTCTAAGGCTTTTTGATATTTTGTGCTTCTTTTAGCCTACAACTTGCACAAGTTTCAATTTTTATTGGATGTAAGTATTTCTCCATATTGCATAGTTTGACACAAATAATCTGTGGAGGCTCAACTAGCTTTAGGGTTATTGCAACTATCTTTTAGGAAATAATTGCTTAGTTGCTTATGCTTCTAACAGTTTGCTGAACCAGATCACTGGGCATGCGAGCTTCCCAGATTAACCAAGTTAAACTGTTGCATAACAAGAAATATGAATAAAGTTCTTTTCTTTGAGGAGCAATGTGATTTGGGAGTTTTTGCATTTAACTTTTTTTTGGCCCTTCTTCTAGTGCCAAAACAAAATAAATCAGGTTTGCTTCTTGGTAGTGGCTTCTCATAGGCAAGAAAGTACATTAACATTGTTCATATCGTCTTTGTCGTTCTCCTTCCTCCGTCAGAAAAAAGCAGCATTGTCCCTTGACTCAATTCCCTCTGGCTTACCATCAAGAA